AATGGGGAATGATAACTGGCTGTAGGAAGAATTTTAGGAAATAGAACTGATGAGACAGGCTAGCATTTGTAGACAGTAGAAATATATGCACTTTTATGTTATTATTTTGCTACCATTTTTCCCAGTTTTATTGATATGACTGATACAACATTGTATTAAAGGTGTACATATGATTTGATACATACTTTATATATATATGTATATAGAAACGACTAACATAAGTTTAGTTAACATCCATCACCTCACATAGTTGCAAGCGCTTTTTTCTTGTGATGAGAACTTTTAATATCTACTGTTTTAGCAAATTTCAAAAATATAATACAGTATTGTCAACACTGTCTCTTTCCAACCAGAGAATCCCCCTAAAGTAGACAAATAAATTGGTAAGAATTTAGAACTGGAATATGTTTTTACAAATTGACTTCTGTGTAATAGAAGGACATTATTATATTGCTTTTTAAAAAAAGAGGTTGTCATAGAAACATTCAATTATACAATTTAAATTGGCTTATTAAGTATTTTATAACAACAAAAGGAAATGAGAGTTTTTCCATTTTGCATTTTTAGACTAATTTTATGGCTGTCTTTGGAATTCACTATTGCATTAATTATATAAACAGAATCTAATAAATGTCCTCAGTAAATTTGACATTAAAGAATGACTCAATTTCCTATAAATTTCTCATTTGAGTAATTGCTATGTATTGTTTTTCCTTTAAATGCATTTTTTCCCTTCTCAAAAGTGAACTTTATAATTTTAAGATTGTATCATTTAAAACTATTTCTTACTTTTCTAATTGCAAAGTGAGTATTATACACAATACATGTGTGTTTGCTAAGTGGAAAAACGAAACGTTCAGTAGGAAGACTCATGAGCCTTGTCTGGGCGGTTTAATTTAAAGGAATGAAGTTGGAATAGTTGACTCTCCCACTGGAGACCACCGTCTCCCATGACTGCTCTCCAAATACAGAGAGGAGAAAATTCTTAAGAGAGAAGATGTGTTGATTATAAAGTAGTAAGAGTAGTGTAGGAAGTTCTATAAATACTTACCTCAGCTGAGAAAGAGCAGGGCTAAAGTCCAACTCTTCAGAAACATTGTACTCTTTTATCTTGGTCCTCAACTCTTTGAAGCTCCACTTGTGAAGTTACTCTTAGCACCTGACAACTAGAATATTTTCTCCTCAGTATCAGCTGTGTAAGTTAGAGGTAGCTTTAGAGACGAAGTAAGTGTTCTTCTGCCAAAATTCTAAATTTCCACAGGATTTATACAACTTAACAGAAAATACAAGATGTATTATTGTCAAAGCAAAATAGTTATTTATTAAGCATTATCACTGTATTCATATTTCATTTCACATGAATTCATTTCCTTAGCACCCTATGAGTTAGGTGAGGAATAAGACGCACAAGTAGGTTAATAATAAGCCCCAGGTCCCAGCGAGCCAACATTTGAACTTGGACAGTTAGACTTGTGCTGTGCTCCCTTCCTGCTTTCCTTAGCTCAGTGTGGTTCATTGACTTCCTTACCCCGCAGGTTATAATGACCGTGTGCTGTGAGGTTAGGACAATGAGATTCTTGTTCAGCATTTTAATTTCAAAAGTTAATCCATTTTATTTTGCCTGAGCAATATAAAAAACAAAGGGTGAGGGAGAAAGTTAATATATTTTAGCTTAGTTTTTGAATAGGAAGAATCTTTTAAGTGTTAAGAGAGGATTAATTTTTTCTGGGGCCAATTTAAGAGCATTTCTATTGCAAATTTAGTTTTGAATTAGTGCCTTCTTAGCACAGCAGGCAGCGCGTCAGTCTCATAATTTTGAATTATAGAGTTATGTCAAGAAAAGTTTATGCATTTGAAAAAAAAGAAGTTAATGCATTTCTGTACTTTCCCCAAGTATTTCCACTTTAGAAATTCTAAAAGTTTTCACTGTCCATATAGTAAGTAGTAATACACTGTTTGGATTTTTGAAATTAATTGTTGTGTATAGTAAAACTATTTTATCAAATTTTAAATCATTTGTTTTAGGAATTATTTCTCGTTCACTTTGCTTGGCATAATAAGCATCTGGGTATAGTGTAGTCTTTTTTTTTTTTTTTTAACTTATGAAACAAAGTGGGAGTGAGTCGTGTTGGAAGGATACTCAGATGGAATGCTGCTGTGTGGTTGTGGTATTTTTGTTTTTGTTTTTGTTTTTAATCTCTTAGAAAATTGATTGGGGTTCTTCCTAATCTTCGGTTGGAGATTTTTCTTGTTTCCTGAGAAGCAGCTTCATAGCTTGTATTGCCATAAACTTCCCTCTTAGAACCGCTTTTGCTGTGTCCCAGAGGTTTTGAATGGTTGTGTTTTCATTTTCATTTGTCCCAAAGTATTTTTTGATTTCCTTTCCCCAGTCTCTGGTTTGAAAAGGAATTTTGGCTAATAGAAGA